TTTTTCTAAACTTTTTAACATTTTTTAAAAATATTTTTGTTTTTAATTAAATATTTTTTCTTTTTTCTTACTTTACTGTCGGTGGCTCTGGGAAATATCAGGGGTCTAGCACTTATTTTGTCACTCCTACGCTCTGGCTTGTGGACTTTCCCTCTGCGTCTTCACATATAATGCAGGACTATGGGTCCTGCATTATACGTGATGGCATCAGCGTGTCACTGACTGGGGGAAGGCATCAGGTGCTGGTCTTAAAACTTACAGGAGCAGAAATCAGCTAAGTGAAAGTTCTTCACACAGGCCCTCCATACATTACTGAGCAGTTAACCCTTGCAATTCGGGGGTAGCCCAACAGAAAAGGGATTTGTTTTTCTTTACCTGCAGATAGGCTTTAAAGATAACTTTGGCATATGTTCAGCTTTGTATATATAAGCTAAATAAATAGGCTTTTTTTGTTCAATTTGTTAGAGCTCTTTAAAATGCAGACCATGTTATATATCCATCAGTATGCTTATTACTAAAGTGTATCCATTGATAGGATCCTAACACAAACTTCACATCTACTAAGAAGACAATCAGTCTAAGAACGGTGAGATCAAATCTTTGCTGACCTCATTCCAGTGATTTTACAAACAGTAAGAGAGGGCACAATTTCCCTGTGTAAGTGGAGAAGATCACATTTTCGTTGATTTGCATATTTTATCTTTTCAGGTTTAGGCAATCTTAGGTTACCTGAAACATAGAAATAGATAATGGATAAATAACATTTTATCAGCTTGATCTACCTGTTTCAATGCATTTTTCAAATTGTAACAGGTTATTTTTTGTTCTTTAAATCATAATTATAATTCTGGCAATACTTGGACACTGACACATTTACTTCAGTATGAGTTTTACGTGATCTTTCCCATATAGTATAAGTCATGTTGCTTAAAGTATATGTCCACTTTTGCAGCTAAATTTGGATAACACCCACTTTATATTTGCTACATGTTCCCAATCTCATGGCATAACTTTAAAAATAAAAATTGCAGGTTACCTTTTTTTCAGATGCTATTTTTGGTAACTCCAGGACTAGAATATCCTGCTTAGTTCTCACTGTTTGGGGGTTGGGAGGTGTTTGTTTTGAATAATGAACCTTGTCTATACTGTGCTGGCAGCTTTCATTATCAATTGTAATCTATATGAGCGGGACTGTTTGCCCTAACAAAAAGCCCTGAAGACCTTGTATGTTCATGCAGAGATGTTCTGTCTGTCCTAAATCTTACTATTAGGACAGACAGAGTTTACTGTTACTGAAATTGATAAAGGGGCATGCAAAGACCTGCTAAAAAGAGATATATAAAATGTAAGAATTGTTTTTATTTTTTATAGATATTCTGTGTGAATAGAAACATATAAACAAACACATAAACAATGGGGATTTTCTAAATTTTTACTGCAAAAGTGGAAATACACTGTACAGCCGACCTTCGCTCAAAAATTGCACTTTACATCACTGCAATACTCCCCCTGCACAACCCTAAAAGCCAACTTTTATTTTTTTGGTTTATGTTTTTTCTTAATACTCCAGCCCACCCCCTGCCTCCATTCGTGCCTAGGCAAGAACTACTTATACCGCACTCCTGAAGCCTCCTGGGGTATGCACATCACATAATACTCGCTTAATACATCGCTTAATACTCCAGCCCACCCCCTGCCTCCATTCTTGCCTAGGCAAGAACGAATTATACCCCACTCCTGAAGCCTCCTGGGATATGCACATCACATAATACTCGCTTAATACATCGCTTAATACTCCAGCCCACCCCCTGCCTCCATTCTTGCCTAGGCAAGAACGACTTATACCCCACTGCTGAAGCCTCCTGGGATATGCACATCACATATCCCAAAGGCTTTATCTTCTACACATTGGCTGGAGGAGGGTGAACGTGCAGCTGGAGCAGGATGGACCTGGTGCTGCTTCATGGGGTGTGGCCTGCAAGTGTGAGAAAGAAACAGCTGGCTCCCAACGTTGCCAGAAATGAAGATGGCTGCATGTGACTTGGTGTGTAGTAGTGGAGTGGCGGATCACAGCAAAAATGCTAGATTTATTGGTCTTGTGAGCATGTTAATTGTTGATAATTGCAGCGAAAAAAGTAAGGGGGATCTAAAAAAACAAATATGGGTGTGATGTACCTTTTTAATATACACAACTCTAGCACATGTAGGTAATTGTATTGTGTCTCACATTATTGCTTAGCCTGTGTGTGGCTGATAATATCGGGGAAATGTGGTATAATTTTCTGATGTGGCATAATCTGAATAGAACTCAGATATCCCTTTTTAACTGGATGCTGTCACTAGCCAATAAAATATAAACAGTTTTATGGAGCACATAGACCATCTGTATGTTACAGTTCTTTTTTTTTTTGTTAACAAAGAATTTATTGAGTTTTTATTGTATGTTACAGTTCTTATAGCATGCCACTCACAATAATAAAGTGTCATTGCTAACTAGCTGCAATATGGGGTAGTATGGAGGAGCATGTGACTTACTCTCCGTACTCTCATGTGACAGTAATGGTGCTTGGTGATTGGCCCAGCACTGCCACATGAGGGTGGGTAGAGAATCTTCAGCCCTCTCATCTGACAGCAGTGGTGCTCGGTGTATTGGGCCAGAACTGTTACATAAGGGTGGGTAGAGAATCTTCAGCTCTTTGATGTGACAGCAGTGGTGCTTGGCGATTGGGCCAGCACTGTCACATGAGGGTGGGTAGAGAATCTTCAGCCCTCTCATGTGACAGCAATGATGCTTGGTTTATTGGGCCAGAACTGTCACATGAGGGTGGGTAGATAATCTTCACCCCTCTCATCTCCATTGCGTGGGTTATTCACAACTTTGCTACACAACTAGAATTGTACTAATGCTTATCTTCCCATGCAGTCTATGCTCTAGATATAATTACTCATATGTCAGCCATCCTTTGTGAGCACCTTACATATTATATGGATAAAGATAGAACCATAAATAGTGGAAATCCCATCCAGGGTCAGCAGTATTTCTGCAATTTGTCAGATTTCTGTTGAGTGTAACACACAAGAACATAATTATCCAGTGAAACAGCATGTGGTACCCAGGGCAGTAAGATATATTTCTTCCATTGTTACATTGTCAATTGATGTGCCATAAATCTGTTTACAAGCCCGTGCGATCAACATTTATGTGGCTGCTTTATATATTTCCTCTTTTGTACATCTCATGCTTAAATAAGGAATTTTTAAGTTAGCTCCAGTTTGTAATAGAAGAGTTTTTTGTTCTATTCCCCCCCCCCCCCCCCCCATACCCCCATCAACATGCTAATAATATTTTTAATTACATACATTATTTAAGACCCACTGATGTTATCTCTGGATCTCTGTGGTTCTCTACACAATGCAGTCAGATCATGATTGATGGGACGTGTCAGCAGGGTGCTGCACATGCCTTAGTACCTTTCTCAAGAGCCCTTAGCCCTGATACAAGCAGTGGGCTGGCACTTGAGAGGAGTTATATAAATATCATGGGAAATTGTCCATCTAGAGGAGTGAACATTCCTAGACAGACAGCATTTGCATTCAGGTAACACCACATGTGATGCTGAGTGTCTTTGATTAACAGAGCCAAAAATCCATTGAAAAGGGGTGGACCAGGAACAGTGTTCCTGGGGAGGAAAGAGCTAGATGCTGCTGGATGTCCTCCAGCCAGAAGATGAGGCAGACTCTGTCTGCAAGTTTTAATGCACACTATGAGAAGCTCCCAATGTGCAGCAAAATCAGAGTAAACATGTTCAGTGCAGGAGAGGAGCCTTTAAAACTGTGCAAGTCTGAAGCTGAAGCTGGATCTCAGCTTTAAGGTTACAGGCCAAGAGTCTGATGGATATTAATAAGTTGAATTACTTAACAATATTGTATTACCTGTTGCAATAAAAACCCTACAAAAGTTCTAACTTTTAAAGATTTGGCTGGAGATCTACCTGCATACTGTTATACAGTTCATACTGTTGCCCTGCAGTAACACACGAACATGCATGTGCTGTGGTGCTCCTCATTCGTAATGGCACCCAAAACGTTCCTTGCCAACACAATGCATTGCAGTACACCACCACGCATTTTAACACACCTCAGCAGTGTAAACCAAGCCTAAATACATGTCCGATTAAAACATGTTGCTCTTTGGATAGAGTGGAAAAGGATTAGAACCCTTGCCAGTTATGTATTGCTATCCTGTAGAGAGACTTCACCCCACATACTGTCACGTGACACCATTATCAACAGACAGGAAGTGAGGAAAGTCTTGCACACAGACATAGACAAGAATACAAATCTTACAGGGGTCCTAGCCTTCCCCTACTCTACTACTAATAAAGCATCTGTATTCCTTTCTGTGTTGCTATTTGCGATTTTCTCAAATGCCTTGTGTGAAACTGTTAGTAATTAGGAACCATCTAAGGGCCCATTTATGCATTCAAGCTAGCCCATTCCTTTAAATTAGTTGCCCAATGCGCCACAATGGACCAGAAATCTTGCATGTAGCATTTTCGGCAGAGCACCCTAGGCTGTGCAGCAATGCAAGTGCACGGAGAGGGTGCGTTGTGGCGCCATTCGTGATAAATGGCAGCATATGGCACCAACACATGTAAGGAACCACAATAGCAGTAAACAAAGAAAAAGAAAAGGGTTTTGGCTGGAGTTCTACCCAATGCACAGATGGATATGTAAACAGCCGTTCAGTAATTTCTTTTCATTTTTCCATAAATTTTATCTTAAAACTGAAATTTAATTTCAGCAGGCTGACAAGCTGGACATCACCTCCTATTTCCAGTGCTTAATTCTAGCAAAGGACACAAAAAAACAAGGTTGTTGGCACAGTGAAACACATACTTTGATGTATTACTGAACATTTCTTGACAAATAAATCCTATGTATGAAGAAAGTCCATTTCTCACCGAAGCAGTGTGTAACTCGGTTTTCTATCATTCAAGGCAGCCAACATCCCCTTGGTGTCAGAACTTGCCATCGATGACATCCATTTTGATGACTTCTCCCTGGACGTTGACGAGATGATTACAGCAGCCCTGAGAATGTTCATGGAGTTGGGAATGGTTCAGAAGTTTAAAATTGATTACGAGGTAAACATCTGCTCTACTCATGTATCAGCCTCCCTTGTACTGGCATGAGTCTTCTGTTCACTGGTAATGAGATCTTAGTACAACACATCTTCATGCCCCTTCTGTTTTACAGACCTTGTGCAGGTGGCTGCTGACAGTGAGGAAGAATTATCGAATGGTTCTCTATCACAACTGGCGGCATGCCTTCAATGTGTGCCAGCTGATGTTTGCCATGTTAACTGTGAGTATTGAGGATCCAGATCTTTTTCTTTGTGCTGTCTTTTCTGTGTGTCAGTATGTTACTGGGGGTTCATTACTTAACCCAGACATTTCAGGAAAGTGTTAATTTAAAGTACAGGTGCACTGAAATGAAATTTTGAAAACCAAAACATTTTTAGGCCGAAACTGAAAAAAACATTTTCTAACCTTTTCAATTTTTTTGTAAATATTTTATTTTTATTTATGTATTTTTATTAAATATTTTTATTTTTTTACTTTACTGTTGGGGGCTTCAGGGAAATATTAGGGGTCTAAACAGATCCCTGATATTTCCCTTTTAAAATAGAAAAAGAGATGGAGGACACAGAGTCCTCCATCTCTTTCTGCAGCTCCTGTTATGTACACAATCATGAATTATGTAGATCACTTCCCATTCATTCATAATTGGGGACACAGTAAACACAATATGTCCTTAATTTTTTACAAACACTCAGCGATCCCTGATCACTGACTGCTTGTACCCACTCTCCATCCTGACTCGCTGTCACAGGGGGCTGAGTGAGCGTTGCAGAGAGGAGAGCTCGATCTCCTCTGACAGCTGACTCCTTCCCTTCACCACTGACCCAGCCTCCTGTGACAGCTGTCTCCGCCCCCACACCACCACTCTCCTGATCTGTCAGAGGAGGCTGAGTTCTCCTCCTGCACCTCCTTGGTTTTAGCCTCTTGTGCAAGCACTGACAGCTGTCTCCGCCCCCAGATCACTCTCCTAATCTGTCACAGGAGGCTGAGTGGTGCGGGAGGAGAGAGAGCCCAGCCCTCACATCGCTCTCCTCCCCCACACTGCTAGGCCTCCTGTGACAGTTTCTCGATGCTGTGCTATGTCAGAGGGGACACAGAGCAGCGCCCAGCAGGGAGTAGAGAAACCAGGGATGCATTGCTATTTCGGCTGAAACATGGCACTTTCTGCATTTTGCCAAAAGCGCCATTTTTGGCCGTTATGTTTCGGTGGCCAAAATGTTCCCTAATTTAAAGGGAAAATGTAATGGTATGGGGCAAATTTTATCTGATTCTTTAAAAAGAGCCAAAATTACCCAATGCAGGTCAGTTCCCGACTAACAGGATGCCTCCTTATGTGTTCCCCAAAACAAACAGGTAGTTCTTGTACCTTTTTTAGTGTTCTGTCATCAAAAATATCTTTATTTTTTACTTTTTCACCCAGCAGCAGGATCTCACAGCAGAGACCCAGAAAAGACTTATTAAGACTCAGATTAAACAAGTTTGTTCTCTCCATATCAGTCATCAACCCTGGAGCCCAAGGAACTTAAGGCTCCATTCACAACTATATTTTAGGTGCGATAAGGGATTCCTGCATCAGGAACTTGCGATTTCCCACAGCAGGAATCCCTTAATCTGCCCTTTACAAGGGGCAGCTGTCACCACTCAGGAAAATGATCAGGTGACATCCGCTGCATTTGAAAACAGCAGAATGCTGGTACACCATATGTAATCGTATGTGATATGATTACATGTGGTTGGGAATCAATCACTATCATAGACGCATCAATTGTGCATCCAGGGATAGTGAATGATTACAAACCACGAGGTTGAACTTGATAGACTTGTGTCTTTTTTCAACCTGATTTACTATGTAACAGATGTAATTGTATCACCTGGAGGCTGAATTTACACCCAGGCGGCACAGTTTTTGCGTGTTTATACGCGCGTTAACAGCATGCAGTTATTTGCACGTTGTGCACATTTGTATGTATGTTTTAACGCACGTACATGAAGACGAGCGTTTTGATTGGCAGCTCATAAACCATTGTGGGCAATGGAAGAACGTGCGTAGAAACGCACAAAAATGCTCACAAAATTGTACAACATGCTTCTGTTGCGCGTTTTTGGGCATTTCCAATGGGACAAAAAAGCGCTTTTATCTGCCCAAAGAAGCTCATGTACCTTTTTTTTCGCGTTTTTCTGCTGGTGTTTTTCTGTTCAGGTTTGAACCAGAGCTATGGAAAATCAAGGGATTTATTGTGTTGGGCAGTTTAAAAGCGCTTTTCGAACTGCTCAAAGACTCCTAGGTGTGAACCAAGCCGGAGCCTTACCAATCTTGACTTGGGTACATATGAAATTCGTTCCGTGAGTGGCCCTATTCTATTGCCAAAAGTCAACCATTAGATTGACTTTTGGCGAAAGAACAAGCTGGAAAATCATCAGCCGAACAGTGGTCGCTGCTGTCAGAATACAATGTACACAGCGGGAGATTCGTTTGTCCATGTTATTAGCACGGATGGAACAATCTGTCATATTTTTTCTATTTGGCCTGTTGAATGAAACAAATTTGACCGTGTGTACCCAGCTACAGTTTATTTTATAGCCAAGTGGAGTTAAGCTTGTGAGAGAGGGTTTTCGTTTGCTTCCGGACTTCCAAAGGAAGATAGGGCATGACTGAGTTCCTATTGTAAGAAAGCAATTCTTCCCATCTATCGGGTGACAAGGGTTGCTAGATTCAGAAGTTAGGGTATAGAAATCATGATAAAAGCCCTGGAAATCAGAAACTATAGCTGCAGAGGTGGAAAGTCTTTTTCCCAACTGAGATATTATATGTAGCATAAATATTTTTGATCTTGGCCCTGTAAGGCCCCTTTCACACAGGTGCCTGTCCTCTCTGATCAGCAGGGGATCCGTGCACAGATCTGTGACATGCTTGCCCATTCAGTTTTTCCTCCACCTTGTGATGGAGGAAAAAAACCTGAACCAAACAGACCTATATTTGATTTATTGGCCCGTTATACATCCGATTACCTCCGGTCAGTCAAGTTTAGGTCCAAAAAAACAGAGAAGGAGGCAAACCTTCTCTATTGTTTTTTTATCATGACCCAAACTGACTTGGAGGTAATCGGATGTAAATGGGCACATGTCCGTAGACATCCAACTGCCCATGGATCTGCCTCTGGTCAGATCCGCCTGACAAACCGACAAACATATCTGATCAGACTGTCTGTGTGAAAGGGGCCTACATGCCCTGGCTAGACGTTTGCCAGGTTTGTTGGAGAACTCATAAAGAGATCTCCTGCCTGCCACTCTCTGCACACAGATAGCACATTTCCAAAGAGAGACGTGATGGGATATCACTGTGACAATAATTAAAACTACCGAGAAAGGTAGCACCTGAGAGGGCTCCTGAGACCAGTGGCGTAACAACCGGGGGTGCGGGGGGGTCACTTGCCCCGGGCACAGGACTGAGGGGGGGCGCCGTCACGACCCCCGCTAAACGAAGCCATGGCTCCCTCTCCCTGACACGATCACCTGGCTGTCATCGGGCGGCCGCTCGCTCTTCCGAGGCCACTGCGGGCGGCCCTCTACACTGCCTGATTGGAGGGCGCGTCTGCCTGATCCAGCCAGCCAGCCCGGATCGCATAGCGGCGATC